GAACTAGTATGAGAGTATGGTTAGGGATGTCTAGTATAATGTGCTCAGCTCATATTTCTGATAGTCATTATACCATGGTGTGGGTGTTAATTGATGAATTGTTGAAATTTCTATTTTGTCAATTGGATGGATATGGATGGTTTAAATTGTCTATCAATGCTTTAACAATTTAAATGGAAGTTTTATGATTATAATCATATACTGGATACATGATAGGATCTTATCAATATATGATTTCTATTATGTTGGTTTCTGGATTTACTTGATGTTCATTTGGAGTGTGCATCATTCTTGGATCATATGCATTATATGTACCGGTATGGGATGGTGACATATCAGGGATGGTTTAGATCAAAAAGCTAAGTCCTACCCCTTCATACATACGGAATGGATTAACTAAAACAGTTAACTCCTACATGGATGCATGTCCTGTCAACTAAAACAGTTGAACGACATAACGGATGGTTGTTTTATCTTTTTGCATTAGGAAGGAATTTATATATATACTTATGGTACCATGATACGAGCTTGAGTCTCCTGATCACGGTTAGGGTGCGTATATCGCCTAGGATTGATAACCAGACCTGATGATGTTTCCCTGGTTGTTCTACTCAGGTTGAGACGGATTATGTGGGCTGGTGAATGTCCTATAGTGTGTACTTATATCTATATGGACTATTTTAGCTATTGTTGAGCTATCTATGATGTATCTGCGTATTGGGTTTATGTATGGATTGTAGTAGTTTGGAACTTGCATGTGGGCCTGACCCACCCTTATTTTTCAGGTGTTCGACAGTACCAGACTTAGAGCTTGTTTGTGATGATGCAGATACAGTCACTCACTCTTCCGACTAAATAGGATTTTCTTTCTGACTTTAGTTTTGGATTTTAATTCTGTAAAGTTTTATCATTTGGGATTATTAGGGGTCCACTAGTTGGATTCCCGAGTTGTACGGAATTAAAGGTTTAAATTTTATTAAACTTTTATTTGGAGGTTTTTCGTATTTAGATTTCTACTCAGCTTATTATTTATTTTCTTTTATTTCGTTTTGTATTCCTGCTTGTTTACATATTCACAGTTGGTATCCCTCGGATCTGTGCTCGAAGTTGATCACCCGTGGCTTTAGAATCGAGGGGTATCACAGGTCTCGCCATCGAAACACCATCACAACATTCTCATAACCATCGCCGTTGATCAGGCCTTTTATCGTAGTTGGTTAAGCTTTTACTGTTGTCTCCACTGGACTGATTCCTACTGTGGCCATCCAAATCTGTCACTGTCATATTCCTCGCCAACTCTTTGTTGTTGTCAGATTTGTTGGCTGTTTCGTTTTCCTCAATCTGCTAGAGAGAACTTGGTTGGGTTGACCCTTCTATTTCACAATTTTCACTCTCCCTACCATATAATTGGTTATTAAATTTGTTTAAGTTCATTTAAGTTACTGAAGGAAAATGGTGACGTTTTATTGTGCAGTGGCACCCCTTGTATGAGAGGGGTAAAATAGACTTTTTTAATTTTCGGTGATAGGAGATGACCGGAAAAACATTCTCTGTCCTAAGACTACACCAAGACCATAGTTGAGGGGGATTATTTATAGTTGAGGGGGGTAAGTTACAGTTGGGTATAGTTAAAGGGGGTTTATTGTACTTTATCCTTATTATTATTATCACGAGAAAACACTTGTTTGGGTTCCTTTGAACCAACCTTTATTGTGAACACCTCACATTGCATGTCAGATAACCTCTTGATGGGCTCATGACACGTACCATTATGTGCAACACTTTGTACTCGTTCTTTGAAGGATCACAGCCAAAAGAAAGAATAACTAGAATAATATTCATAATCATCAAGTTTAAAATTTTTATAATTGTAATCACTTGCCGGTAGGGTATTGAATCTTCGAGTGCTAGGGTTGATAGCATAGACATTATTACCATTGTAGAAACATACTAATACGTTAAGGGATTCGGAAACATAACACCGGCAAGGCAAAGTTGTTTCCTTGTCACAGCAGGGCAGCGACAGGAGGCAGACCGCGCGCACTAATATCCCTCCTTTAAGACTTACAAAATAAAAGTAATGATTCTGATGTGTATAATCCGAGAAAGACACAGTGATTTAGAGGGGACGAGTTTGAGATTGGGTTAAGTGCACATCCATAAAGGAAGGGCTGTGGATGATGGCGTGCTAGCTTTTGCAAACAGATCGGAATCTCAAGAGGGACTTCACCGGGATCGGAGTCTTGAGAGTATCTTTAAGATCAGATCTTCTGGAAGTGGTCGTCCTGTTGTAGAAGAAGGTTTTGGGTTTTTTGAGGAGGGTTTCTTCTTCTTCTTTTTTGGTAATCACTTGTTTTGCTGTTGTTAGTTGATGGATGTATAAATTAAATACCCATGGATAAAGGAAGGTTGTAAAATTAACACGCTATCTCATAAGATTGAGATAGGCTCCACAGATTGCGAAAAGGATTAAACCTACAGATTACGATAATGATTACAGATTACGATAAGGATTAAACCTACAGATTACGATAAGGATTAAGCCTATAGATTGTGATAAGGATGAAGACAATGGTAACTATAGGTAACATCCTGACCTAAGCCCTATTAATAAAGGGAGCTAATCGACGTTTGGAGGTACGCAATAAAAACTAACTCAATTTATTGATTTCTCCAGAGAGATTCTTTTGCACACTGACTTGTTCGTCGGAGCCTACTCCACCAGTAACACACCGGTATTTGTAGGATCACCTTTTCTTCTCTTTGTTCAAGAAGTCAGATCAGATTTGAATTGTGCAGAATCTATCATCAACATTAGTCATTCTTGTTTGCTTCTCTCCCATTGCTCAGTTTCAAAACATGGTCTTCTCAAGTTTTGAGTGTTGCAAGTCACCAACTAATTATAAATAGAGTTGCGTTTCACCCTGATGTTTCTAAAATTAGAGTATGGTCTTCACAAGTTCTCATTGTCCGAGTATGTTTAGGAATTGGAAGCTACTACGGATTAGCACTCTAATAATAATAGTACAAGGATCATATTTTAAACACACTTCTCCCTTATTTTAGGTTTACTAAATCAACATATATATATATATATATATATATATATATATATTCCAATCTCAATATTTTTGGGCCAATAAATAAGTGTTCTTAAAAATAAAATAAAAATAAAAAGTGTTATTATGGTATTTATCCGTACAATCCACCGCCACTTTTCGCAGAAGCTAGAGATTTTATTTATTTATTTATTTTGTCATTGCCATTGTTGCTGATTACAAGTTCTTTCAATTCTAATATTCCTCATCTTTGGTAGGAAATTTGAAATAAATTTGATAATTCATTATTACTAATATAATACAAATTAATTTTTTAAAAGTTATACTCTAAAAAAAGGACAGTGCATCAGATTATTGTCTTTTATAAAAATTACTGTGTCGGATTGTTTGTTTTACTTAAAAAAAAAAATTAAAAATCAAAAATTAGTTGGGATTTTATGAGAGTTAAGAAGAACTGACCGAATATTGATACCATTATTTATAATTTTAAAATATATTTTTTAATTTTTAACACGTATTCAATAAACGTCAAAATAGTGTCCAAGCATGAAAATTTTAATGATACCTTCTGTACTATGTGAGTTGATATGTTGAATCGATTTTTCCAATAATCAATTTGAATAATTCTAATGTTGAAGAGAAATATAAAACTATTTTAATTTCATCTCTGTCAAATTTTAAAATCAATAGCCGATGGGGAACTCATTGGAGCCCTAACAAAACCAAGTCTTCATAGGGCAATTGGCAAGTTTTCATAGGCTATGTTTGGTTGGCCGATTTAAAATTGAATTGAGATTGTATTGAAATTTCAATTTTATAATAGCTACATTTCTCAAGGACAATAAACAACTTCTTTAACACTGCTTCCATTAACATTTGAGATGCTGCCAAACACCCTAAGATGTGCAAAGTAAATGGAGCAGTTGGGAGCACAATGAAATAATGGAAGATGGAGGATAGTTGATTTTCCGGAACCTAGATGAAGGCTACGTATAAAATATAACAATGCTTTGAGTTTGCAAAGCAACCACGCCCTAAAATAGTAAAAACATATACTATATTCATTTCCATGAAACAAAAATAGGAAAAAGTTCACTGAACACTAAAAAGTTCGATTTGATTTGTGCCAATTTATCCATTTCATTTTTTCCCCTTAATTTATTATCATTTCATTACCAAATCAATTTTTGATCATTTCTCATTTTCAAACCAATAAGTAATCCTCAGAAACTGGAACCAAACTATGCAAGGTCCGGTTTGGTTCAAAATACTTCAAATCTACGAGGATTTTCCTATTTTTCAGTCATTGGTTTCAAATATGATTACCTATTTTTCAGAATCCTCCAACAAAATAAATAGAAGCTCAACATTCATTTACTAAATTATTTTTCACCTGCAATACAACTTTTTAACATGACTCTCATCAAAATAACGATATAATTTATTATCTATATGAAATTATAAAATGTTTCTAAAATTATCTATAATATGATTACCAAGTCTTGCAGCATATATTAGTCTTAAATGATAATACTTAAAATCTATATATCAAAATAGGCATAGGTTATTTAGATTATGAATTTGTTCCATTTCATGTTGCACCCCTAATTGTTGATCAACTCTCTTGCAATGAAGACTCTGGGCCAATAATAGCTCATTGGGGTACCACTTACAGGGGTGACACTGAAAATAACAAACCATTAAACACAACGAGTAAAATAATAACAAATAAAATTAATTCAATGCTAACTTTCTATTATTGAAAAATATCAGCAATTCAGTAATATATTGTGATATATCCGAATTTCCGAATGCGGGTTGGTCATGTCCATGCCCGAACATCCGGAGATATCAAAAACAAATCGATAATAATCGAATACAGAGTACAAAAAGAATAAATAAGAATAAATAAATATGCTGAAATGGGAACTAGAATGATCATCCATTATAAAATTCTCAGTATAAATTTCCATTAATTAATAAATCCTTCTGATACAATTAATCCTCCAAAATAATACAATTCGGGAATCCATACTATGTGGACCCCTATAAAAAACTAGACTGAATAAGTAACTGAAATAATGTTTACATCTGAAAACTGAAACATAAACAAAACTCCTAAATAGAATCGAAAGAATGAAGTAGACTGATCCCTGCTCAGCACGAACAACCTCTACTCCTGACGATCACATCAAAAATAATGGTGGATCAGGCCCACAAATAAATTCTACTCTACTACTGTCCAAGCAGAGATCCGATATACGTATACATCCTAGTCAATCCAACAATAACTCGTAGTCTGTATATATACACACACACACACACACACACACACACACACACACACACACACGCTAAAGGAACCTCACTAGACTATGGGGTTGTCTCAACCTGAATAGTAAGCAACATGCAAAAACACATGTGTACCTAGACCTACCAGGGCACACAACTACATTATATCTAACTACACATCCCTGACAATATACCTACCCTAACCATAGATCCTGAGGCTTAAGCTCATATCATGGCTCATAACTATATATATATATATATATATATATATATATAATCCATCCTAAAACATAAAATAAAATATCCGGTATGTCATCCAACTGATTCAGTTGACCTGACATGAATAAGTAGGACTTCACACTATAGTTAATCCATTCTCTTATAATACAAATAGGTATGACTTGACTTCTTTGGTTAATCCGTCTCTAAAACGCCACCATCTCATACTCGTGTATTACATCCATATAATCCAATAATTGATATAACAAATAAAGTAACACATTAAATAATCCAAAAATAAACATAATAACATAATATCATGCTATTACCAAATAGGAATGATTTATAACTTATTTCAGTTTCCTATATCATATATCCCACACAAACTGAACCTTAAACATGCTGATATTTTATTTCACAGGCAAGTAAGCATTCTCCAAATACAATTCATGCTAAACATTTAATCTCAATTGTTAGAACAAATTAAAAAGATTAAATCCATTATTCTTTAAAGAATTCAAATAGCATGCATCATTATAATCAAATTTATTTAAAATTTATTTAAACTCATACCTAATCCCTATTTAATGTTCGAGACCCCTCAAAATCAATTAAGGTCAATTAAACGTTGTTTACGAAAATTTCCCCGGTAAGGCTCAAGCTTTTATCCTGATAGCTCGAGCTTTCTATCCATGGCTCGAGCTTTGCATTAATAGCTCGAGTTTTCTGTCCATGGCTTGAGCTTTGTATCAATAGCTCGAGCTTTGCCTCGAAGGCTCGAACTTTTCACCTATGGCTCGAGCTTTACTTCCAAGGCTCGAGTACTGTAACAACGGACTGAGTACTGTTACGCGAATCAGCCCAGAAATGTAAGTCTGTCCATCATTGTTAAGAGTCCTGAGCTCCAATCTAAGTCCCATAAAATCCATATTAATTTATTTGAGATGTTTTAACATGTAAAGATCTAACTTAAACACCAAATCACGCATCAAAATTCAAGAATTATTTAAATCAAGAATATATATGTAAACACATAAAACCCTCTGTTCTAAACCAATTCAAGCATGCAAAATTATTCAATTTTAATGTTTAAGCATTCTGGAATTTCCTAGGCATATATAGAAACACAAATCAAAGGGAAAAAGATAGAAGAAAAACTTGTCTTAAACTTTCGGATTATTTCTTCTTCCTTGATCTTCTTCTCTAAAGGTTCTTCTCCTCCTTCCTTCATCTTCCTCCTTCTCTCTCTAACTCTCTCTCTAAAATATATTACGTGATATATTTTTAACCCCCTTTTACAAACCTATAGTTATATATTTATAGGCTAAATAATAACCCTACTCCTTTTCCCAATTCAAGTCAACTTAATAAAGAAAATAATAAAATTAAAATATTAAAAATGTAACTTAAAATATGTTACGTATATAATCTATGCATATCCTTATTAAATAAATAAAATATATACATCAGATTATTTAGTAATACTAAAGTTGCCATAATATTAAAAAGTAACTTAAAATATGATACGTATAATCTATGTATATCTTTATTATATAAATATATGAAATAAATACATCAGATTATTTATTAATACTAAAGTTACCATAATATTAATTAATAAATTACTTTCCTTATATATAGATATATATATATATACATATACAATTATCCAAAGGTAATTATCCATACCCATTAAACATCCTATTCAAGTAGTCCATGGGGCTTAATTGGTTGGCCCATTGCTACTAACCATAAACATAAACATAAAATAAAATAAAATAAAACATTCAATCATTTAATCTACAATTAATCAAACATATCATTTAAGCACACAATTTAATAAACAAATAATACAAATAACACCTAAACAAATAGCCAATTAATCAAGTAACACTTAATTCAATTAAACACATAAGTAATTAGTCAAATAATCAATTAAACAATTAAAAATGCAATTAAAACAAATAAATAAATACCGAGAGTATCCTTTTAAAATTAGGATTATTACATTCTTCCCTCCTAACAAAAGAAATTCCGTCTTCGGAATTCGCCCTTACTTTCTTACATTATTTCTGAAAACTATAAGCGAATTACATCCTCCTGTTCTAAAGTAGACGCAACCTCACTATAATGGCTCCACTTAACTCCAATGTATCAAGTAGTATAAATGGTTCCTATATTTAAGAAACACAATAATCATACGATTCATAGGTTGTATCGATCAACAACGTAATCCACCCAATTTGACAAGGTAATGATCTATATTCCTCCAAGTTCCATAGAATATATGCACAAAACTCCTATGCACCTAGCGTTAATGATTTGGTAACGCTAATCCAGAGATAACTGCCTCAATTTATAAACACAATCCTCTAAAAGTCAATATAATAAGTAAAATTGACCTCTATAAAAAAAATCATCTTGCTTCCTATATAGAAGATATAACAAGCAAACTACTCCCTGATAGAAAACTCTAGTATACGAGTTCGACTATTTACAACATCCCACTGCCGCCTCTGAACCGTGCGTAGTCCATTACAAAGAAAGTATTTCTCTCCGGCGTATTTTTAAATAAAGTCAAGGTCTGATTGTACAACCCTTAGGGCATGTTTGGTGTGGTGGAATGAATTGGAATGGAATGAGAATGGATGTGGGAATGGAATGAGAATGGAATGGAATGGGAATAATGATTCTCATTCTACCGTTTGGTTGCAAATATGGAATGTATAAAAATGAAATCTCATTCTCATTCCTATGTTTGGTAAGAAAGTTGGAATATAATGAATTTATATTGTTTCTTTAAATTACATTTTATTATTAGTAAAAAAAATTAACTAAAAAAATTAATCTGCAAAAATAAAAGGGAAAGAGATAATAGAAAGATAAAATAGACGAGATAGAGAGAAACAGAAGGCTCTCCGATGACTGCAAAAATAAAAGGGAAAGCGATAATAGAGAGAGAGAGAGAGAGAGAAAATAGACGAGATAAAAGAAACAGAGGGCTCTCCGACAACTGTAAAAATAAAAGGGAAAAAGATAATTTTCCAATCATCTTTTCCAGCGAGAAAAAAGAAACAGAAGGCTAGATAATGACCGAGAAAGTTATATAACAAAGCACAAAAGCTCATAAAAGTTCAATTACACTATTTTTGTCTCATCCTTGTGTGTGTAAATTGGAGAGAGGGAACAAGCGGCATATATATACATATTATATACATATTATATATTATATAGTGTGTGTATGCGTGAATTATTTCTTTAAATTACTTTATTACTTTATTAATTCTTGGTGGGAATGGAATGGTCATTCCACCTCTCAAAAAAAGGAATGGGCATTCCACCTTTTTTATGGAATGGGCATTCCCTAGGAATGACCATTCCACTTTTAATGTGACACACCAAACAAGAGAATAGAAACAAATACATTCCATTCTACCTTCATTTGATTCCATTCACTCACACCAAAAATAGCCTTACTTCCATTTCAAACCAACAAATGAGAGGTCTGCACGAGGTAATATACAAAACCTCAAACGTTGTCACCCCAACCTCCTTGTGCCAATAATACCACAGACAAAAACTGAAAAGCGAAGTAAATGCTTTAAATTGTCCATGAAAACCTAGAATATACGCCTTAAGCATATCTTTTATGGTCTAATTTAATCTCTTTATCAATTCCTCTATCTATAGATATGAAACGTTGCTCCAAAATCTTTATAAAGCTCCTTCGAAATAGTACTTAGCATCCACTATAATGGACATCCACATACTATAACACCACTATCACTGTACTATAGAACTACTATAAAGCTCTAAAATGAACATCAGTCCAATTAATGTCCTCAAGCGAACTTTCTCAATCCACCACTCTTATTCTGAAATTCCAAATCAATGTCGATAATCCCTACCGACCGTCCACTCCTGTTTAGTCCTACTTTCATATTAGTTATAGGAAGTGGCTAAAGATTTCTATGATATCCGATGATCAACTTTCCACCTTTCTAACAGGTGTTACACTTATGTCAATTATATACATGTCTCTGTCCGTACCTGTTCACCAAAACCGACATTTGATATCGTGATGTACCTTCTAACCGTTTGAGTGCACCAAGAAAAATTATAAGTTTTCCATCTCAGTCGCTCGACCGTCATATCACTATTTATAAAAACCACTAAATCCTCCTCCAGTACCTTAAACTCCATCTGAGTAAAGTAACACATTTTCCAAGGTCAGCTCCGATATTCTATCGTTTGTTGAGAACATACATTTCCACCTTCGCTTCTAACAGACGGAACTTGATGCAAAGTGTGAATCACCACTTTAATCCATCTAAACCGTCTCGTGATCCGTTCTATTCATATGAATTAAAGTCCTACCAGTTCGAAATAGACAAGAATTAAGCTGACCTAATTTAATCAGTCAACCAATATCCCATCAGAATCTTGACCCTTGTGTAAAATCAACAATCCCTTAACTAAATCCGTAAAATGCTCTCTCATTTCCACTTCAGTATAGGAAATGGCTGCAAGGATCTGGTGATCTCTGATGGTCCATCTCTACTATCTAATAAATATTACACTTGGAGAAGAAAAAAAAATCAATATGTCCCTCCTCCTGCCTGTGCTCTAAACATCTGTTTCATATCGTGATGCATCGTATTTCCACCT